CCTGAGTGTGGCGAAAGTTTCTCGGAGGTCCGACAGATGATCTTTCTGAAGTTTAGTCTTGACAATCATATCATCAATGTATGCCTCGACGTTTCTCCCAATCTGATCAAAGAACACAGTGTTTATCATTCGCTGGAAGGTAGCCGGGGCATTCTTAAGACCAAACGGCATGACCGTGTAACAGTATAACCCCTGATCAGTGACGAAGGCCGTCTTCTCCTGATCTTTCTTCCATAAAGGAATTTGATGGAAACCAGAATAGGCGTCCATAAAGCTCATCAAAGCATGGCCAGCTGTTGAGTCGACCAAACTATCAATTTTAGGCAGAGGGTAACTGTCTTTTGGGCACGCCTTGTTTAAGTCTGTGTAGTCTACACACATTCGCCAGGTGCCATTCGGCTTTTTAACAAGCACCACATTTGCAACCCAGTCTGGGAAGTAACATTGCCGAATGAACCCTACATCAAGTAATTTTTTAACTTCGGCGGCTGCCGCCCGACTTCTTTCTTCGTCATGGTTCCGCTTCTTCTGCCTTACCGGCTTCTTTTTTGGATCCACAGCCAGTTTATGTACCGCCAGCTCAGGACTAATGCCTGGCATTTCATGGACTTCGAATGCAAAGATGTCCTTGTATTCTTTCAACAGATTGTGAAAGACATCACCTAGGACCCCTAGAGCAGTCGTCCCAACTTTGACTGTTCTGTCAGGACGGGAGACATCTAGGATCAGGTCCGTATGCTCACCAGCCGGCTGAGGGCGGAATTCATCCGACCGCTCCTCTGCCAATGATTGCTATTTTTTATCTTTTCTTGCGGCCCCCATCTGGGATGCCTTTCTTTTCTTGCCGCCTGCTTCTTGATCAGGCGCATTGTCCTTGACATTGTCAATCTTTCCTCCACTGGACCCAGCGGCCATAACAGTGGGCTTGACATCCGAGAGATAGCACTCTCGTGCCATCCTCTGATCTCCCTTAGGGAGCCGACTGTTCCATTGTCCCTCTCAAACTTGAGCAACATAAGAGATGGGATTATTACAGCCTTGGAATTATTTAGGGTTGGTCGACCCAGAATCATGTTGTAGGCCGAGAGTTCTTCTACCACCAGGAATCGGACTACCATGTGTCGGCCTTCCCCTTTTTCACCCAGGCGGATGGGTAGATCTACTCGTCCTACAGGGTGGACGACTCCTCCTCCAAACCCTACTAAAGGGTGGGAGGCCGGATGTATACAATCAGAGTGATATTTTAGTTTTGACAGACATTTGCTACTGATAAGATCTGAGGAGCTCCCAGTATCTATAAGGATTTGGCCAACTCTCTGGTTGGCCACTTTACATTCAATAACGATAGGGTCGTCATGTGGCCCCCTTACCCCTCCTAGATCTTCTTCAGTGATGACAATCTCAGGAAATGAATATTTGGAGGGCTGTTCTTGGTGAACGGAATTTACATCTAGCCGCCTGATATTGTCTTTGTTGCCCCTAATGGTGGGACCTCCTCCTGCGAAGCCGCCTGCAATAGTGTAGACGACTACATCATCTGTATCAGAGCTGTCGGCCTGTTGATTCTTTTTGGCCGACTGTTTTTTCGAGGAAGTGCTCCCCTTGGATTTCTTGACAAAAGAGTCAAGATCACCTTGCTCAGCCAGGCGGTCTAGGTACCGCATGAGACTGATGCATTCGTTGGTGTGATGACCAACGTCTTCATGATAATCACAGAATTTGTCTTGGTTCCGGTTGCTTGCAGAACCCTTCATGGGGACCGGCTTCTCAATAGAGATCCGTCCCTTGATTTCTTTTAGGATAGTTTGGGTATCCTTGCTAAACGCATACTTTGGGGAGTATGGTTTGAATTCTTTTTTCTTCTTCTGGGCCGGCTGTTTAGAGGAATCAGCCGCCCAGACCTCTTTTCTCTTCTCTTCCTTGTTTGACGACTGTATCTGTCGTCCTTTTTTGTCGAACTTTTTCCCGTCCGACTGTTTCATTGTACTACAAAGATCAGTTGCCTGTATATAGGCTTCTGCTTCAATCAAAGCCTCCTGAAGAGTCGCCACCCTCTTTCGAACCAGATCAAATTTGAAGGTCGACCCGTCTTTGAGACCCCTGAAAAAGTCAGTATAAGCTACCTCATCCGGTAACCCTTGAATCTGTATTCTCATCAGGTTAAACCGCCTGATGTAAGAACGAAGCCCTACTTTTTCGCCCTGCTGAATTGTTCCCAAATCAAGGGTCGTTTTCTTCGCAGGGATGTTCATGGAAAAGTTGGAGGTGAACAAGTAAGCAAGCGTCCTGAAGTTGTTTACACAACCAGTCGGCAGGTTGCCGAACCATTGTTGTGCAATTCCTTTGAGGGTCGCTGGAAAACACTTGCACCAAGTGGGATCATCCAACCCTTGAAGGTACATTAGGTTGGAGAATGCCATCAGATGATCTTCTGGGTTAGTAGTGCCATCATAGGCGCCTACTAACACATTTTTCACTTTGGCCGGCTGAGCGGCTTCAGTGATTTCCTTGGAGAAGGCCGACGGCTGTTCACCAAGTCTAAGCAACCGTAGCTGCCAGTCCAAAGGTTGGACATTTTTAGCTGCGTGTCCACCAAACGGAGGTGGCTGCATAAAATACTGTTGCTGCGGTACAAACGGTAAGTTTGGTACCGCCTGGTCGCTATGAAAGCCTGACCGACGGGAGGTGCCGCCTGACTGACTCTCATGACACGACTGGGTATGCCTCATCGAGGTATTTCGCAGACTTTCTTGAAAATTTGAAGTAGAGGCCGACTCTGACAGTCGGTCACTCTTCTTCTGTTCTAACAGCAAACGAGCGTCTGTGTATGTTTTCTTCGACCCGTCCGCCTGAATGTGACGAACAGGTTTCCTACTTCCTGTCGGAAAACGGAATTTTGTGAAATCAAGAGCAGGCGGCTCCTGCTTCCTTGATTTAGGATGAGGAGTCGCCTCCCGCCCTTGAACTGGCTTCCTTTTCAGTGAAGTGGATGGTTTCTTGGCCGACTGTTCCTTGGCCGGAACAGGCTTCTTATTAAGCAACTCTTGAATTTCTCCCTTGAAGTCCCTCATGAAGGTCATGAGTTCGTTCCTTGTGATGGGAGCAGACCCATCAGTCGGCTGTTGCCGAACAGGCGGTGAGCCTGCTGGCTCGCTTCCTGTTTGAAGATGCTCCCGCTCCCTTCTTTCGGTATGACGGGTACGTCGGGCCCTTAGGGTCCCGTCTGAAGCTGTGTGAGCTTCAACTTCGAATTCACTCTCGGTATCATGGTCTGACTGAAATTGAGGGTCGTCTAGGGGACGCCTCTCTTCAGGAGTCGGTACAGACGTGGATGCCATCTCAGAAGTACTCTCCCCACAGACGGCGCCAAATGTTTCGGGGTTTTCTGATGTCCTGCGGGAGAGTTACAACACCGAGACTGGAACCGGCCGCCTGTACCTGCAAAATAACGGAGACTCCTGGGAGCTCCGCCTCCAACGGTCAAGTTAGTACTTGTTTGAGGAGTAATAAGTGCGGAAATTAAAGGGGGAAGATCTGGTTCCTCTAGGGGAGGAGTGATCAGTGTGTTCAGACTTCTCTAGGTGAGAGTAATTAATTGCTCTTTTTCTTTAATGAGGATTAATTAAGTATTTATAGTCTTGAGAAGCGTGCCACTCTCTAGGTTTAAGGTAAACCTAGGGCTGACTGGGCCTCTAAACAGGATTGGGCCTTGTTGGCCGGTTTTCCCATTTGGCATGGGTGGACACGTGGCGTGTCTCGATTGGTCCGTAGAGGACGTATATGTGATTGACACGTGGCAGGCTCCTATTGGCCTACGTGAAGGACACGTGGCGGAACCCGATTGGTCCACTTGTCAGACGGTGATTGGTGGATAAAAATCCCCTAATCAAAAGTATTTTTACCAATATTCACTATTATTTTAAAAATAAATTAATATATTATATATGGATCTTATTTTAAAGAACTTTTTAAAATGAATTTTATGATGGAAATAGAACCGAGCTATAGGATATTTATTAAAAGTTATGATTAATTTTGTATATATGAAATATTAGAAGTTTATCGACAATAAAACTCTATCCGACAATTTTATCTTAAAAAATCTATCCAAAATTTGCTTACTTAGCATCATACGTGTCACAATAATACCTAATTTTCGCCTACGTGGCGTGACACTTGGTGAATAACTGGAATGCCAAGTGTCGCTGTCTCATGGCCTAACTGCGATACCGACTTTATTTATTAGTGATATGTTATGATATGATACTTCGTATATTTATGTTACGTATTATAATAAATATCTTAGTATCACAAACCACATAATAAATCACAAACATACACAAAAATATTACAATCGAATATGAAGAATACCTAATTCAAAAGCTTTGATGGTAAATCTATGGTAGACTAAAAAAAATTAAATTATAATTACGTGGTTATTTGTATAGAGTAAAATTCTATTGTTAATTGGATATTCATATTAATTATAATATGTGGTGTATCGCTATAAGTTAAATTCTATTGTCAATAAAAAGATAAATTTTTTTCTAAAGAATTATAAATTATTTTATGTATACTTTTTTATCTTAAACAAATCCATCCAATCTAAGCTAATCTAACTAATCACAATAATACTTATTTGCCTCCTACGTGGCTTGACACTTGGCGAAAAACTGGAATGCTAAGTATCGCTATCTTGTGGCTTGACTGCGAAACCGACTTTATTTATTAGTGATATATGATATGATATGATTAATTTGTTAGATAAAAAGTAATCAAATAAGATTTCATTAAATTTGTATTGATGTGTATTTTCTTATAATAATTTTCTAAAATAATTATAACCTCATAATACATGACAAAATCGCATTTTAATTGGGGTAATTTATTTTTATTTTAATTTAATATCTTTAAAGTATTTTCAATCATTTTATATTTTTATCCGACCTCAAGACGTTTGCCAGCTTTTGTCAATTTTTAATAACAAAAGCAAAGTCCCAATTCCCAAACCCACTTAACAAAAACCCTCAACAAAACCCTTGCGAGTTACGACTAAAGTTTTTCCCTTTTTCTTCTTCTCTCTTCTCGTTTCTTCCAATCTTCGAAGTCGCAAACCCTAAAACAGGAGAGAGAAAATAAAACCTCCATTACCAAACTAAATCCATGGATATGGGTAGTGATTTCGATCGTCTCCTCTTCTTCGAGCATGCTCGCAAATCCGCTGAAGCAGCTTACACTAAAAATCCTCTCGATGCTGATGTATTCAATTTTTCCCTTCTCAATCTATTTTTTCTTTAATTTTAATTATTATATACGAGTAATATATTTTTGAGATCTTTATTCTTAGCTGAATTTGTTTATGTTTTTATTTTTGAATTATTTTGTTGCAGAATTTGACGAGATGGGGAGGAGCTTTGATTGAGCTGTCTCAATTTCAGACTCCCGATGACTCCAAGCAGATGCTTTCAGGTTTTTAGATTTTCTTCAGATTTTTAAACTTTCTTCAGAATTATATATATATATATATATATATATATATATATATATATATATATATATATTAATTTTTTTTCATTAATTTCTGAGGGATTTTGGAGTTTGTGGGTTTTTTTCATGAGTATTTAGGATGTGGCAATGAATTTAGTTTGAAATAATATAAATTTAAACTTATTGTATAGTTTATTGGATTAATTTGTTTTTATTTTTATTTTTTGAGCTGTTATGAAGGATTAAATTTAGTGTTTTCCTAAAAAAGGGTAAATTTTTATGATGATTTTGGGTGAATTGTAGATGCGGTGTTGAGGTTAGAGGAAGCTCTGGAAATTAATCCTAAAAAACATGACACAATGTGGTGTTTGGCAAATGCTCATACTACACATGCATTTATGGTTCCTGACATTGATGAGGCTCGACCTTACTTTGAGAAGGCTGCTGACTTCTTTCAACAAGCTGTTGATGAGGTATATCATTTTACTATCGTCAACTCGATATGGGTTCGTTTCTATAATTTTGGAACTTGGGTGTGAGATTTATTCACTAAAGATTTTTTTTTTTTGTTAGGATCCTACTAATGATTTGTATAGGAAATCCTTGGAAGTTTCTGCAAAGGTACACTATTCTTTTCTTGCCCATTGAAATTATTTGTTGTGTTATATTTGACTGGTTAAGCTAATCCAACCCGAGTTACCCGAATCCAAACCAAAGATAGTGGTTTTGGGTTTGAGTTGTTCAACTTGATTTATTGATGGGTCGACACAAACCCGGCCTTAAATTAAATGGGTTTGGTTAATGTTACAAATTTCAACCCGAAAATGACGTGTGTAACTTGAAATAATAAAATTTTAGGCCTGTGATACTTGCTTAGTAGTTAGTACCCATTCCCTTTCTATTGCATTTCTAAAAGTTGTATTGATCGGGTTGGTACTAGAGAAGTTACGGTGGCTATATTTATGGATACACCAAGGGACATTCTAAAAGGGAAAGTGGAGCAATCTTTTAGGGGCACGGGAAGTACCAACATCAAGGGCCAATGTCTCATGTATGGTGACTAGAATTCTAGTTTTTCAGTTATCACTATTTATGAAGCCAAGGCTCCTTTATTTAAGGGTTTGTTGAATTAAGTGGTACTTCGATTGACATAATAATAAACAGCAAATTCTTATGAACTATTGTTTGGTTGGAACATTGGTTGTGCTAGTTTTTACAAAACACAAGAAATTGCTCACCTTATTCATTCCAAGTAAGTAGAATATTCATAATCAATTAAACAAAATTTGACATATATGAGATGGAAGTGTTCAATTGCAATTTTTTTTGGGTTTGAGCAACTTTTTTTTTTCTGGCCTGGTCCAACCACACAAACACTAACGTTTTTTATTTTATGTTATATTTATAGTTAAACTGTCTCTGCACTATCATCTATTACCTCTCTCTGCTAATAATGTTCTCCTTATCTTTAGCACAAGTATATAGAAGAGAAATTTTGGTAGAGTTTTTGTGAATTAAAGGTGAATAAATAAAATTAGTGGGTATAGTTTTATGATTTCTTATCACATGGTGAGAGTGGGGTTTTGCTGATTAAAAGGGAAAAAAATGAGAATTTTTTGGGTTAATTAATGTTTTTTTTCTTAATTTTTATTTTGTGGACCAACTCTAAATGAGAAATGAGAAGTTTATTTGAGGGAAAATGAGCTTTATTTGATGACGAGCAAATCTTCTTTGAAGCAGTGTAGTATGAACTTGCATGGATGTTAGGTGATTGAACTCTCATTTCTGAACTTCAAGGTCTTTTTGCTTAGGTATTAGATACCTTTCCATATTTATTTTTGAAAATGTGGATTCCATAGAAATTAGAAAGTAGAGTAATTTTGTAGCTTTTAGTTCTATGTATATATCACAAATCACAATAAATAGTTAGTATTTATAATGATTTTATTCTGGTATTACTTATTTGGGCTTTATTTATTTGAAGCTGTCTGCCTCATTTTGGTGAATGCCATCCTTATAAATGTGAGATTGCTTCCTCCCTGTTGGATTTTGGAATGTGTTTGTTTTGAGATGATGTGTTTTTTTTTTTTTTTTTTTCCCTTTCCATGTAAACCAATATCTGTTTTGGATGACAGTTTCTCTTACATATAATTGAACAATATGAATCTCAACTTGGCACATGTATATTACATGGTTTTTTCTGCTGTATGTGTAAAGAATCGTATTGGCAAAGTGTTACTAATTTGTAATACATGCTTGATTGAGGGTTTGGCTGATAATTAAAATCCCTTTGAATCTTTGATTGTTTGGTTTAGGTTGTGTATGTGACCTTGTTTAAGTCCTTGTATTTTTAATTGTGAAGCAATTAGTTAGTGTATGCAAAATCAAGGGACATAAATTGGTGCCATTTAATTCCTAAGACCTTGATGGCTACGTTAAATTTACTGGAATATCTTTTAATTTCTGCAAAATTTTGCATTCATGCGTATAGCCTCGCTGAAGTTATTTTCTATCACCATTAGTACTTTTAATAGAAGGCCTGTCCAGTTGACTTTTTTTTTACAATGATCTTCTTCCTATTAGTGTTTATAAACTGTTGGTGTTTGTGACTTTGACCCTCTGATTATATCAAAGTTGATAAATTTTGAGTTGGGGCTTTGTTAAATCCTTAAATTTTTTAATATTCACATTCTTATCTAATAGAGTGTTAGGTTTTAGAGCTGATTTTATCAAGTTCAATATTCTATAGTTGTTTTTTTTTAAAAATCCTATACTTCCTCCGTTTCAAATTAGTTGAAACATTTCATTTAGGCATGTTTGCTAACACATACGGAGTACTTTACTTTTAAATGTTAATATCTTAAGCTACATATTACAAAAATTATAAAAATTTGATATTTGCAAAGATGTTGTGACGGATCTAACAAGATCCTGTAAATGTGAATAGTGCACAAAGTTAAAACGTGTCAACTAAAAGAAATGGAGGACGTATATATTTTGGACTATTTTTTTGGTAATTTGAATATTTCGTGCTTGCTCTTGACTAAATGTAGTCTGTGTCTCAACATTTTATCGGTTTATCCTATTAAGTTGCTTTCCATGGTTCAACTGGAACCTACTTCCTTTTCTGTTTTAAGGCACTTAATGTCTATTTCCAAAATCTTGTTTTAAGGCTCTTAATGTCTATTTCCAAAATCTCCCAAATGTCTTGTCTCGTTTAGCTCCTTACTGCCACCCTGACAGGAGACTTTCAGAGGCATTGGGTTAATGTTGAAGTTGATGTTGTCCTGTTATTAATATTTTTGTTCCTGTTATTAATATTTTTGTTTTCCTCTCAATGTAATTTATTGAAAATCTTTCTATAAGAAACTAGTAAAAAAGTCGCGTTTGTTTTATGTACTATATTTTTTGTAATCTCCTGGAACTTTTAGCTTGTCCGTTGAAGCCTTGATTATAAGTTTATCACAATTCACAATGAAGAGAAAACCAAATCCATGTAGAATTGCAAATCCATCATATTTTCATTGAGAAACAAATGGCCAGGTGTCTTGTGCATTTATTTGATATAAATGTTGTACAATCAGAAGAATTTCACAAATTTGAGTATAACTAAAAAGGTAATAACATAGAACTTATAACTGAGAATGGGTAGAGACATAATAAAAGGATGAGAGTAATGATATGGAGACCACTTTAATGGTGGGAATTTCTGCTCTGTTGATGTAAAAAAAAAAAAAAAAAATGGTTGATGTGAAGTGGGGAGACTAATTCAATGTAGTATCGTGTTTTTGCTACCTTGAGGAAAAGTACGGAAAACATGAAGGTACAATCGAAGTTATGTTTTGACCGGCTTAGGAGATATTGTGGCCTGTTTCTTAAAGCTGCTGTCTTTAATTGTGGGCATGCTGCAATTTCACAGCTTTATTTCTGGGATGTGTTCTATTCACTTGAATTTTACTTTTCTAAAGTAGTACTCTGACGTGAAACCTTATCTCATCTGAACTGTTTAAAAAAATGGATTAAATCAGTAAATTAATAGAACTAATGCAACTGAGATTGAATAATTTTGAGGTTTGGTAAAAATAATGTAAGCTCATTAATGACCGGTTGAAGAAAACAGGGAGTACCTTTCTGCGTTTATTTTCTGATAATCTAGTTGAACAGAACTACAGAAGTGTATCTGTATTATGTTGGTTGTTATGTTAAGTAGTTATTGTAAATTATGTTGTTGATGGGATTGCGCAACATTTTTTTAGGCTCCGGAGCTACATGCAGAGATCCACAAGCAACAAGCCTTTAGCCAACGCCAACAATCTATGGGTGGCGGAGCTTCATCTTCTGCTTCCACCAAGGTAATTTTTTTTTGTGTTTTTGGATGTTTACTATTGCTGTATTAATCTTCCAATTGTTAAAGGATATTTCTCTTTTCTCAGAGTGCCACCAAAAAGAAGAAATCCAATGATTTCTTATATGATGTGGCGGGGTGGGTTATTCTTGCAGCTGGTATTGTGGTGTGGTTAGGGTTTGCGAAGAACCAAGTTCCTCCTCAGCCAAGGTAATCTGTTTTTTTTTAGCGTGGCCTAAGTTTTGTCAAGAAGTTGGGGGCCGACAGCTGAGATTGATCGGATTTTTGCGTGGAATACACCTGAGTTTTCAGGGTTGCAGTTCATTTGTCGTCATTAAATATATTGTCTAGCTGTAGTTTAGCTATATTTGTTAGCTTTAGTTCAAAATTATTTGTGACTGGAGTTTTCTTACAAGGTCGAATTTTCATTGATTTATACTGGTTGTACGGACCATTCTAAATTGTACGATGTTTCATTAATCAGTATACAAAATAAGTACCTGCTTCAACAGTTTGTTTGATTACAGTGTTATTGAATGTTTAATCAGCTTGCTTACCAACTTATTTGCTTGCTAAATAATTACTTTGTAAACTACAGTGATAAAGAATTAAAATGCTGGTACTCTAGTAATGTTTGTCGAAGAACCCACCCTCATGTTTTTGCATGAGCATGCTCGAACGTTTCCTCTCAACCTCACACTCATCCATTGTCTACCCAATTGTAGAATGAAAGTATATGGGAGAGGAAGAGAGACATGGTTTATTTAAATACTTACGGAGTAGTGAAAAAGAAGGAAAACAAGATAATTTATTCAAGTATAAAGGACATGGTTTGTGTATCTAGTGACTGTGCTAATTAAAATGCCAATGTCATGATATTTTGTTGAAACAATTGTGAGTTTTGCAGAAATTATAAATTTTTTCCTATCATATATCCTCAACCAAGTGAATATTAATCGTTGTGAAGGGTAAGTTTTCCACCTAAATCATACGGAGTATGGAACTAATGATATAGGGTCATCCTTATACAAAGCATCGCCTTGATTATTCAGACTTCATAAAGTAGTAAGAAGTGGTTATTCAAACCTTAATTTTAATCAGCAATAATCAAATAATTTATGATGAACAAATAATTCGCTAGAGATAAACTTTTATTCAAAGACGAAGAGAGCAATTTTCGTTAGCAACTTAAATAAAAGGAGGAACATACTACTACTATCATTTAGGGGTGGTCTATTATCGTTACAATTGAATTTACAAGAGTATATTCTATTGTTCTCCTTCTCCTACTGGAACAAATCCAAAATTACCACTTTTTGCCCCTTTCTTTCTCACTAACTTCGTGGCGCAAGGAGCTCGAGATAGCTCAAAAATGGCGGCAGTCGCCATGAAAGTCGGCGCTAATTTCTCAAGAGATTACACTTCTACTCAACCACTTTGTCTCTCCTTCCGTCGATCTCTTTCTCCCTTCCGCTGTAGAAATGTCTCTTTCCGGCGACTTCAACCTCTTCCTTGCCGCTTCCAAGTTAGAGCTGTCAAACGAAGCCCTAAGCGTCTTAAATACGCTACTCCTCGCTTCTCGAAGGTTCTTCTTTTCTCTACCTTCTCATAGGTTTTTATTATGGAGTTCAATTCTAATTGTCTTTGTAATTTGCTCGCATTTTTGGTTTAGTGTTGAATTTGGAGATATATGCTCGAAATTTAGCGAATTGTGTGTTGTAGCTGAGGAGAGTGGTACCAGATAACAATGAGTTTGTTGCAATTCCGAAAATTAGGAAATCTGGAAATGTCTATGAATTTACATTAAATTTGAAGAAAAATTCTTAATTATCTCCATGATAGTGATGAAATGTTTATCAAGTGACAATTGCATAATTAAATTGAAGAAATATACGGTTGTAATGATTGAATTTATAGTCTTGATGTTTGTGTTTTGATTATGTTTATTGATAAAATTTGTAGTTGAATTGTGGATATATAGTCATACTGTAGTTGCTAAATGCACAATGCAAAATCTATATCTTGATATGCTTTGAACTTTTGAATACCATAATCTAGGAGATTAACTCTACGACGCTAGTAAATGAAATTTTGGCAAAAGGTGAGATAATTGTCTAAAGTTCTCATTATATATTAAAGCTAAAGTTTAATGTTAGGCTCCATTTGGTTTGAACAAGAATTATTTACAATGGAAACAAATTGTCATGAAAAAACACTTGTAAATTACTTTTCCTCTGTTTGGTTCCCTGCAAGAATAGTTAGAGAGGGAAGTACAGATTTAAAATGTAATGGAAATGGAGGGTGGGTGAGAGAAGAGAAAGAAGAAGAAAGGATTAAGGAATAGGAGGAAAATATGACTTCCCTTCCCTACAAAATGAAAATATTTTCCTCCTAATAAACACTCTCTCAGTGTCTTTACACTACGATATATGTGTCAAATTGTATGACTTGTGCATATGAACGATTTGTTAGACAGTAGCAGTTAAGTCTTAAGAGAGAAGTATATCTTTATTCTCCCTGATCCCCATGTTGTTCTAGGTAGATTGCCAAATCCTAGATATACTTCCCACTAAAATGTTTATTAAGAAAAAAAATTCTAATTTCCAGGATGGTGTCTAATTTCCAGGATGGTGGCGTGCTCTATGTTGAAGTTGATCCATCAGGAATAGACAGTTGGAAGCTGGAACCAGTTATTCAGCAGCTGAAGGAAGGAGCCGTTGGTGTCATCCCCACAGACACAGTGTATGCTGCTCTTCTTCTCTTTTGTGTTTCGAGAATGATGGTTTACTGTTATCGTGCATGTGCTTCTAAAGATGTAGTAGTTCTAGAGGTGATGTCGGTTTGGAATTTGATGGCACGTACCTATTTTTCTTCTACATTAATATGTCTTGTGCTTTACAAACATTCCAGGTATGCAATTGTCTGTGATATGAATAATCCCTCTGCAATTGAGCGTCTTAGGAGGTATGTCATTGCCCCTCTATGTATGAATGTTGATAATTTCTCAACATCTCTTCCACTTTGGTTGACTTCATTTGGCTTCTTTTGCAGGATTAAGAATATTGAAACTTCCAAGGTGAGACCTCTTATAGTGATGGTTTTTCGTCCTCTGTCCAGTAATTAGCTAATTGGCATTCGGGCTGAATGTTGCTTTATAGAATTGGGATTGATATACCTACGTGTGTGTTATTTTGATTGTAAGATACTTACCTTTATGTCTTCATGTTGTCTGTGCAGCCGCTTAGCATTTTATGTCGTTCATTCCATGACATTGATGTATATACAATGGGCTTCCCTCGTGGTGATAGCCTAGGTCATCCTAACATTTTTCGAGCTGTGAAGCAATGCCTGCCTGGACCTGTAAGTATGATTTCACTTACTAATTCTTTTATTGGGTGCTTTTCCTCTTTCCATAAATTATCTTTCCTTTAGTGGCTAGAGTACGGGGTGAACCTAAGAAAGCGTCCTGAAGGTTGCAGTTTGATGACTCGGTACTTTATGGATGCCCTGTTTCAGTTGCTTTACTTACTTTTGAACATGAGACTGATGAGAGAGTAAGGTGACTAAGGTCACCAACAACTTAGCCCTCTCATTGATATTACATATCAATTGCCTTTGTGCAGTATGTTGCAATTTTTGGCTACATTGGTCTATATAGCACGCATATGTGAGAAAGTTGTTGGCACAGGACTTACAGGAGATCATACTATTTTGAAGCATATTGCTGATTCATATTCATCCATCTCTCTCAATCAGCATTCTTTTTCTTTTCATTTTTTCCCCCTTTTTATCCGTCTGTGCCATTGGAGTGAACTGTTGAGGATAGCTCATTGGAGAAGGGCTTTATGAAACACCCAAAAGTATGAGATTCAAAAGCAACCAAAAGAAATGAACTACTATAATTATTACTATATGACGCTTATGCATTGTTCTTAAGATGCTAAATTTGAAAGTTTGCTCTTTATGATATGTGAACAGCAGAGGGTTGCCATACGTATGTCAATTAAGTTTTAGTTGTTCTTATGTTTCAAATCCTTTCCCTTTTGGCCCAACACTTTCTGAACATCCTCGACTTCTGCTGCATAATGGTTTGCATTTTTGGCTGATATGTTCCATGTGGCAGTACACTTTCATCTTAACTGCAAGCAAAAGTTTACCGAAGCTATGTCTCAATCATGAGCCGGGAAATGTAAAATATACACCAAAGAAGAGCATAGGTGTTCGTATACCTGATGATCCTGTAACTAAGGCTATTCTTGAGAAAACAGATTCACCTCTGATATCTACCAGGTTTGTTTGGACCTCTGAAATTTCTTCTCTTTCGGAATTACGAGTGCTGATGATTTTGGTGTACCCATACTAACGAGGCACATGAATGGCTACCTGCATCTTGATTTCCTTGACCTTGTTAGTCTCTCTGTCTGTGTTCTCATATTATGCCTGTTGCAGTGTTAAGGCCCCAAAAGAAGATCAGTGGATTTTAGATCCCGTTGTGATTGCAGAGGTGTATGGAAAAGAGGTATAATTTCACATACGAAGTATAGTTAATTAAACTCATAAAGGCTGTAGTAAAAGTAGCAAGAATCTTTTTCCGGGTCCTGAAGTGGCTATATGATAAACACATATAGCAGTACGTTTGATGAAGCAGCAATAAAAGAGCCACTATTAGTTCCGTCATATCGTGTGTCGCTAATAGCTCCTTTGTTTGTGCTTTCTCTAGGGCCTTGATTTTATTGTTGATGCTGGTCTTAGAATAGCTGAGCCATCTACTGTGGTTGACATGACTGGCAGCTTTCCAAAAATCATCCGTTTGGGAAAGGTATGTGAAATTTGTGGCAACAAGCTACATACTTTCATTTGTTAAACAAGCATATCTTCGAATTTGTAGTGGAATCTTTGCATCAGTTGATTTGATTCAGGTTTCCAGGGAATTTTATTTACTAATTTTGTGACCCTGTGTTTCCCTTTTTGTTGATGCCTAGGGATACAATTTATATAATTTTTGGACACGTCTGCATTTCCGCACCTAGAAGAAAAAGATTAAGCAATATTTTATTTATCAGGACATATCTTTAACAATAAAAATGGGTACATAATGAACTCAGGGGAACCTTCTCAATTTTCAGGACATGTAGATCAAAGCTCTTGATGTCAGTGGTTATAATTTCTATAAATTCCACTTGATACTTGTTTAAGTTAGATTTATTTTCTGTTACTGGATTACATGTACGGCTTTTTGAAGATTAACCTTCTAAATGCTGCAAGCTTTGGTTATTGCACTTGCCTCTGGTTTCATGGGGCATGGACATAACCATGTGTGTATATCAGTGCTTGTATTTTCTGTTTATGTCAATTGCTGCATGCTTGTGAATGTTAAGGTTGCTTTGGGGAGTCAAACCTACTAGAACCCTATTACACCATTAGCCAAAGCACATAAGCATTCTTGTAGTTGGGGGCAAAAAGTTGTATTTTCCTTTCATCAAGGTCTAGACTTACTGGTTTAATGGATCACAGGGACCACCACAACCTTGGATGATATCTGAAGACGAGGAGGTGCTTGGAGGCTGACAGTGCTACTTGAAGCGTCTGAACATATTAATGCTCACAACTTTTGTACAGATTCAGAAGTAAACTGTTTTTTGTGTAAAAATTTAGTTCTCCGTGGTTATAATGATATACGGACTACTCTATGATTTTAGGCATTAGCTAATTCCATCAGCTGAATATAACTCTGTACATACCTGTATACTGGTTTAATGGATCGCAGGGACCACCACAACCTTGGATGGTATCTGAAGACGAGGAGGTCCTTGGAGGCTCTTTCACGTCTACTGCCTCTTGAAGTGTCTGAAATGTTCACAACTTCTGTACAGATTCATAAGTAAACTGTTTTTTTGTGTAAAAAAAACCTGTTCTCAATGGTTATAATGACATGCTACTATGTGATTTTAGGCGTTAGCTAATTCCATCAGCTGAATATAAATCTGTACATGCCTGTATTCTGTAAAGTGAGGATCTATCTTATGAATACAGCAACTTCACTTCATCAGATTTTTGCATATGCAAAAGTAAATTTCCTTAGCCAATTTGGTCTAAAATTTTCTTGGTACTTATATGGGTCCTATCCGATCCCTGCCATTTTTGCACTTTGCAGTATTGCTTTCTCATTTTCATACACCGCCTACTGCAGAGAGTCAATCTTTCTATCTTCAACTTCAACTGGTTGTTTGTCAATGTCTAAAAGACACATTAATTAATTATTGCAATCCTTTGATACTTCCATACAAGGTAGCAAAATACGTTCCTTTGTGCAATATGTTCAAATTACTCCATTAATCATCACTCTAACATCGTTTAACTTATTACTCATAAAATCAATACACAAATAGAATTTCCTCATCAGATTTGCAGTCAGCTAAATAAATAAACCAAATCAAACCAATTGATCATAGCTAAACATCATTTTATTTCAGTAGGCATCAAAATTAATACAAGAGAACAAGTAAAATTACAAACATTGTAATACTGATAATATTTTACATATATTGGAAAGCACCAATTAGTAGCAGTAGTAGAATTACCATACTCTAAAAAATATCATAAGATTAACCTAAACATCACATAATAATTAAATCCCATCATTAAACCTAAAAATCTTCATCCATCTTGAACACATGAGTTCCACCATTAGCACCATTCAAGCTTGACATAACAGAAGCTTTCTGATACTCCCCAACTCTCTTCTCAAAGAAATTAGTCTTCCCTTGAAGAGAGATCAACTCCATCCAATCGAATGGGTTCTGAACTCCGTAAACCTTTTCGCACCCGAGCGCAGCCAACAGTCTGTCTGCAACAAACTCAATGTACTGACTCATCAGCTCACAGTTCATCCCAACCAGCTTCACCGGAAGCGCATCAGTTACGAACTCTCGCTCGATATCGACTGCATCCTTCACTATCCCCTGAACCTTCTCCACACTCAGCTTCTTCTTCAGTAAGCTGTACAACAGACAAGCAAAGTCACAATGAAGCCCTTCGTCTCGCGATATCAGCTCGTTCGAGAAGGTTAAACCCGGCATTAGCCCACGCTTTTTAAGCCAGAAGATGGAGCAAAAACTCCCGGAGAAGAAAATCCCTTCAACACAAGCAAAAGCAATTAACCTCTCAGCAAACGATTCAGCACCATCAATCCAACGAAGAGCCCAATCAGCCTTCTTCTTAACACAAGGGATAGTTTCAATTGCACGAAAAAGATGGGTTTTAAGGTTAGAATCTTTGATATAAGTTTCTAAAAGAAGAGAGTACATTTCAGAGTGAATGTTTTCAATGGCGATTTGGAAGCCATAGAAAGCGCGAGCTTCAGCAACCTGGACCTCTTTCATGAATCTTCCGGCGAGATTCTCGAGAACTATGCCGTCAGATGCGGCGAAGAAGGCGAGGATGTGGGTGATGAAATGCTGTTCGTCGGAGGTTAAGACGGTTTCCCAGTGACGAACATCTTGCGAAAGATCGACTTCTTCGGCAGTCCAGAATGAAGCTTCAGCTTTTTTGTACATTTCCCAGATTTGTGGGTATTCAATTGGGAACATACAGAATCTATCTGGGTTTTCTGTGAGAAGTGGGTCGGTTTCTTCGATTTTCGCCGGCATTTTTAGGGTTTTTTTGAAGAATAATTTGACGAAATTGGGGAAGAATGGAAGATTGATTGAGAAATTGGAGGGATTTTTTAGGGTTTTGAGATTTGGGAATGTAGAATAATGGGGATTTTAGAGTGGTTTTTATAGGAAAAATTGAGGAAATTAGGGGTTTGAAATTTTGGGGGGAGTTTTGAAATTTTGAGTGGGAAGCTTGCGCGAGAATAAATCTGAGGGAAGAAGATGAGGGTATTTTAGATATTTCATATAAAGGTAGGTGATATTCTGGTGACGTGTAAGAATTTGAAGGGGTTGTTGGTTGGATATTTGAAATTCCGATTTTATCCTTTTAAAATTTTGGGAAATTGGAAGCGTACATTAGAAGCTTGAAGAAAGTTTACGAAATTAATTTAAAAATTGGGGGGTATTTTTAAAATAAAAGGAGGGAAGTAATTAATTGCGTTTGGTTTGATTTTTATTGGAAGGCGGGATATTGTTTTTAGCGCTTTTTTTTAGGGTTTGAAAATAAAAAAAATTAAAAGTTTTACAGCCTTTTTTGGTTTTTTTCAGCAATTTTTTTTACAATTAAGGTGGTAGTGGTCTAGTGGATTCTTGGATTATGCAATTGTGCTTGCTATTAGGCTAGCATGGGATGACGCGAGAATGGATTGTGTTCGTATGAGGTTTAGGTCGTGTGAATTATGACATGGCACATCTGACACATGGGTTGGGTCATTGGTCGAAATATCGTATGATTTAAATATCCTTAATTCATTTACATCGTCTTAAATTATGATTAATGGATGACTGAAAATAGATTTGGCCATTAAATTTACTGAATATCATTATTAGTAGTGCTCCCTCCGTTCTAAAATATAGTTTTTGTTTGTGTTTTTTCACAGCATTTAAGAAATGGGAAGAAAAAGTGAATGAAGTATATTAATAAAAGTGAAAAGTAGAATTATAGACAAAAGTTAGAGAGAAAAAGTGGAAAAAAGTACTCGCATGAGGCATGTGACATGGCACATGAAACACATCGTATTATTGATCGATATATTTTTTTTATTTTTTTTTATTTTATGAATTGGTCGACATGTTTAAATATTCACAACTTGTATATTGTCTTAAAATATGATTAATGGATACTAAAAATATTTATATTTTGATCAATAAAAATAATAGCATAATAATAATAATAATAATACATTATAATTGTAGTTGGGTTGTTATTTGCTTGTATTTTCAACTTTGTATTGCCTTTCATCTTGTTCATGACCAACTTGAAAATAATTGTGCTTGAGTGAGAGCTAATTGTGCTTTAGTATTCTAAAAAATAATTGTGTTGATTATGAAAATTGAGTTAATAATATACATACGTCTTTCACAAAACCTGATAATTATTGTGATGCTAGAATGCTACACAAAGTTCACACCATATGGCTGGGGTTATTTGGTCAAAGGTTACTCGGTCGGTCAGAGGTTACTCGGTTGGTCAGGGGTTACTCGGTCGGTCAGGGGTTGCTTGGTTGTTTAGGGGTTGCTCAGTCGGTTAGCGGTGATTCAGTTAGGGGTTACTTAATCGGTCAGGGTTTACTCGGTTAGTGTTTTTGTGTGTCAATCATCCACACAGAAAACGTGTTGTGTACAGTATGACTATTATAAAAGATTTTATGATATTGGTATTTTTTTTTTGGTGTTTAGAGAGCCACAAGGGCGGGAGTGAGAATCGATCTCAGGATCTCCTGAAATCGGGAGGGAAGCTTTAACCACTTGAGCTATCTCTCGCACTCTCATGATATTGCTGATATGGTATTAAACAAAAAACACAATGTATGTTTTAGAGGTGATCATTACGACCCCACTCGATCTGACCCGACAAAAGAGTGGGTTTGGACAAGCCAAAAAAACGTTTTTTTTTAGTTAAAAAGCCAAACTCGATTTAAAAAGCCTAAAAAGGCCGTTTTGGCCCGTTATTTTTTTACGGGTTTGGGCATAGGATTTGATGTTAAGGCCCTGTCCGACCTAAAGTTTTGATTGTATAGCTTGAAATAACCTTACAATAAATGCATTGACCATAATACCCCTCACCATTGAAAAGGGCAAAAAAAAAAAAAAAAAAAAAAAAAAAAAAACTGTGTGACATTGGTGAACCCAAGCAAACAAGAGAGAAAGGAAAATCGGGAGTAAGAAAGAATGGCGCAGAACACAGGAATGTTATCCAGAGATCAATTACTCTACCTTTTCGATCGATTCGATTATCTCACTTCTCTACCTGGTAATTTAATTTATCCCCAACATTTATCTCTCTCTCTCCTTTTTTTTTTTTGTTTTTTTTTTCCCTAATTCCAGACTTTTTAAATTTGATGATGCTCAGATGTCAAGAAACGCATAGCTGATGCTGTTTTAGATAATCAGGTACTTTCTCTTTTTCATTTTATGCATTAACTGTAGTATTAAAGACGAAATTGGAGGTTTTTGCATCATGGGTATTGTTGATTTTATGCAATAATTGTAGTTCCATCGCAGAAATTAGAGGTTTCTGAATCATGAATACCTTACATTGATCTTTTGAAGAGTTTGTGGTCTATGACTTGTTTTTTCTGGGAATGTTTGGCAATGAATTTCAGGTTTAATGTCATATAACGGTCTGATTATTGTTACATTGGGATGAAGTTGTTTAATTATTGGGACAAGAATATCTTATTTGTGATTGATAATCTCTATTGAAGTACTGCATGTAATTTACGACTGCAAATTTAGAAGTTGCTTGAGAATTGGGAGTTTCCATTGGCATGTGTTATGTTTTGGTCGAGGGTGTTAAGGCTTTTCACTGCATGATGTTCGAAATGGGACTTCTTGGCATGGCTTAGGTTTATTGTCAGAAGTATTAGACTTTGATTTTTGGGTTGTCTAAGAACTATATGAACATTCGGCTACTGCACGAGCTTTTTGTCAATTTTGGTCTATAATTTGTAACGATGTAGATAAGGGTCAATTTGGTGTGATTTATTGGTTATAGCATTAGATATAGGGTTTATCCAAGCCGTTCTGGATCATGCGTGATTATGACGCATTGACAGCATGGCCTCTTGGTGACTTTTATAGCACATATGGTAGGTGGTAATGAAAGGAAGTAGTAAGAACGGATTTAGATGTATATTTGCAAGGAAGATATCATGCCAATGTCCATGGTAGTGCAACTCCATATTCCCATACCCAGACATATCACATATGTTTCCATCACCATTCAATACATCTGCCAAGTGGTAATGTATGTTGTGACGAAAAAGAGATACTTCGGGATAAACTAAGATTACCATGAGTATTGAAATAGAACATCCCTTGGAAATTTACATACATATTTATTGTAATTACGATCACTTATTACCAGTAGAGTCTCAGAGGCTGCTCAAGGAATTCCTCTTTTTTTTAGGATTCTTCCCCATTTTAAACCTCAATTATCAACAAATGAACAGTATGCCTTTGCCAGTATGTTTTTCATCAACTCAAAGCTTCTTATCAGCTTTCACCTACATTCATCTTCCATCCTTTAAAGGGTCTTCATTTGGGATTTATAGCTTCAAGGTCATGTACACCATAAGTATCATTTATTTGAACAATTTTGTTTCTTTATGAGATTAACTTGAAGGTATTTATAGTTGTCTAACTATTGTTGATTTGACTTTATAATATTTGAAGAAGCTTGCATGGTGATGAATATGACAGTAATTTTTGTGGTCACAAAAATCCCCCAATTTTCATAGGGGGGATTTATAGCATCCGAATGGAGTTTACTGTGACATTTTTCAGCATTTTGTCACCCATGGTTTATGTCAGCATTATACTGCCAAGTTGCCAATGACCTTTTAAGACTATTAGGAAGTTGAGCTATATCTATTCGTTTTTGTAGGGTATGAATTCTTGGTTCTGTTGGCAAGTAATCGTTCCCCTTGTATCCTATAGAGATCGACAACAATATAGTTGCAAAATTTCCACCCTGATAAAGCTTCTTGGGTGTGATTTACTGAAAATTTGGGTCTATTGTGGCTATATTATGTTTGATGCCAATTATGATCCGGATGATCATGTGGTTCATCTGCACCTAATAGGCGGCTTGGGTGTGTGTAGGTTCTGTTAACATCATAACATGTGAATAATGAACAGGACCCCTTCAGCATAACTTGTAAGTTTATTGGGAGCATTAAAACCTTATTACTGTCCATATAAGGGCATTCTCTGTCATGTGCCAATTTTCAAAGGCTTTCACTTATTTTTAGTTGAAATTTATGGCTGAGATCTGTATCCTTCATAATAAGATCCATTAAGGTCATTTTAAAACCTCAAGTCTAGTGTCATAAGACGCCCTTTGTACCCTGTGTGGAGAGCTTTTGAGACATCAGTGACTCAGTGTAGTGTTAATGTATACACCTAGTGTCATAATAGAAAACGAACCATTACTTGGATCTGTAATTCTGGAAAGCTTTGTGCTCAAGACGTTGTAGGGTCTTCTAGATGGTGATTTGTATCTTTTAAATAGGAGGTTGCTTTAACATGGCTGGAGTCTTGTCATTTGCTTATGATGTTTTCCTTCTTTGTGAATTCAATTTGATTTTTATCTTGGGCATTGCCTAAGCATTGCTGGACTTTGAATTGATGCCCATGCTGTGCTAAATGGTAAGTTTTATTGACAATGATAAGTTGGTTGTATAACAACTTCCTTTTTTCTGTTAAAAAACTCCTTTTCTAGATACAGATCCTGTTGTTTACATGGCCCTTGATAGATTGTAACTATAATCTAATTTGAAATACTGCAGGAAGCTGTTGCTGTGACAACTGCAATCCAAGAGGAGATATTCTTAGAAATGGGTGTTGGTTAGTTTTTTTATAATCATTTACTCTGTTGGTTTCACCAGCTTTTTGCATTCTTCCCACATATTTGTGATATTAACCTATGAGGGGTGAACTAACTATGTCAATAAATCTGCACTCTTGTGCAGTTGTGCTAGTTCTATACATTGACCTTGGCTGTGATCTGTTAGGAGAAAGGATTTAAATAAGCCATAAATGTTAATATTAGATAATCAGAATGGTCTATTGCTATGATTTCTGTATGCTGTTTCACTTAGCCATTTTTTAAATAAGCTATTTGCTTTGAGCTTCCACAATTTATTATTGCTAGTGTTAGGCTCTTTTTTGCATAGGATTATCATTGAAGCTTTTTTTTTTGGAAAGAAACCTAATTGAGCCTCATTTCTTGCAGTTTGTGGATTAACAATAGACTTATCTATGCCCTTCAGATCAAGGGTAAGGGCTGGGTTACTCTTGATATCCATATCAGCTGCAAAATTGAATTTATTGGAATTGACTATGGTCATCCATCTCATAGCATAACATAGCAGATTCATTGCACTACTATAAAATGTTTTTCCCCAAATTCTTTTTGGACTATCAAACTTCTTGATCGACCTGGTTCAGTCTGCTGGGCCACTACATGAGAATCAAACATTTTTATATGTCAGCTCACTCTCCAATATCCCCAAATTCTTTTGATTTGTCAAACTCCTTGATTGATGTGCATCTGTCTTCTATGCTGTATCATATCTGGCGACCACAATATGCAAGCAGTCATGTGTTCTTAGGAAAGTACATGCTTATTACTTATGCCTGCCCTCTTTCTCTCAGAAGTAGTCTGTCGCTTGTGAATTACTTCGTATATATCATTTTTAACGATAGAATTCTAATATTTCATATATACAAAATTAATCATAACTTTTAATAAATAATGTATAACTCAATTCTATTTCCATAATCAAATTCGTTTTAATTTTTTTTTAAAAATAAGATCCATTTATAATATATTTAATCACAAACTTTTATACGTAGCTGGTCAAATCGTGTCACCAACTATTACAGGATCAGAGTTACTTCGTTAATGCTATAGGGGTTACTTGGTCAGTGTTGTAGTGGTTACTCAATCAGTATTAATGTATTATAGACAGGGGTTACTTAGTCAGTGTTGGAGGTTACTCAGTTAGTATTACAGGAGTTACTCGATCAGTTTTATAGGGGTTACTTTGTCCGGCCAAATGGTGTAGTTAGCCGCATACAAAATGCATTGTTATTTAATATATTTAAAAAAATATTAGAGAATCGGTAAAATAAGTTTTAATCAGTAAATTTAATTTTAGTTTGGTAAAAATACTTTCAGTTCAGTGAAAATAATTTAAGTTCAATAAAAATACTTTCAAGTCAATAATAACATAAATATCTATTTAAAAACAAAACTACACAAAGTATACTCCATATGATATTGTTTGTCTAAATATCCTACATTATCAGAACGAATTATTTGACTGTATTGAACATTCAAGTAAAAATATTATCTTAAAATTTTATCAACCATTTGGGCATCGCCCAGGCACAAAACTAACCACTAATATATAAATTCGGTCTCGCAGCCAGGCCACGAGACATCGACACTTGGCATTCCAGTTTTTTGCCAAGTGTCGAGTCATGTAGACGACAAATAGGTATTATTGTGACACATATGATGCTAAGTAACCAATTTTTAAAAAGTACTTTGACATGACTTTTGGGCAATATTGCAGATCCTAGCTTTGGAATTGGCTGCCTGGGAAAAGTGAATATGGCATATGAGAATGACCGAGACTTGATGATTCGCTTCTATGGATTTGTGGCTAAGTAAGTTTTCTTTAAGTTGTTTTGTTCCCCTTTCTGTTCTTTGCGCAAGCTGTTTTATTCTTTATTTGAAATTACTTGGAGTGAGGATCTAGGGGCTAGGGTCTTTATGCTGCAGGATGAAAAGGGGAAAAACGAAAAAATCTTGCATATCTGCCTCTTTGTTGTTTCTTTTGCTTGCTAGCTCATAGGAATCTAACCCCCCCCCCCTTTTTTTTTTTTTTTTTTTCCTACATGCCATTATTGTTGTTCCCGTGGTGGCTGATGTATGTAACAAAGTCAGGGACAATACACAATTCTCTGCTTGGCAATTTTTTATTCCTCGCCTTGCTGTTTCTTCTATGCTAGTGCTCATCCTACTGACAGTGACAATATCTATGTACCATGAATCTGATTTTGGAGATCTGATAAGGTGTAAATTGCAGGGAAGAGATAGCCTGTGATGAAGCTGAGCTTGGAACAGATGAATTTGCCAAAAAAATGCATAACCAGCATGATCTACAAGCACAGGTAGAGTTCACTTAACACTTTTGATGGTTGTGAGGAATTATTGCTGAAAGGTGTCAGGTGATTTTTCTTGCAGCAACTAGAGATGTTAAAGCATATGCGTAAATTTCACACAGATGACCAATCAGCTATTCTTGAAAAGGTTTACTTTCTTTTCACCTTGGTTGTGTTGTGGCTAATCTGTTTTTGACAATAGCTGCAATTCTCTTTTAGAAGGTACCAAGTCGCATAATTCAACTGATCAATGTTTGAAGTAGAGATCTTTTTCAGTTCTCTTTCTCACTGTACTTTTATTAGCGTTTCCTTTTAGAAGGTAAGCTCATAATTATAGAACGTGTAGGCTTGGGCTTTTGGTGTTTCGTACCCACTAATGTGAGTTCTGAAGGTTTGTGATGAGGAGTATATCTTTATCATTTGATATCCTTGTCTCGGTGTCTCCACACATGCTGTGTATGCTAGAGCACCTCCCGCCCTTCCCCCCCCCCCCCCCTTTTTTTTCCATGTCAACCGTTTTCTAAAGTGTTCTCCTTACTGTGTAATTTGTTTGCAGTTGCACGAGCAACTGCAAAATTCAGCTTTCGATAACTGGGCGTCTGTGATGCCCGCGGAACAAATTCTGGAGGTCGTTAGAAAGAGAAATGTGCCAATAGCAAGACCAAACTAATAGTTGCTTGAGAATTTACCATCTCATCAACTCTTTTTCAGCTGAACTGGGAACTTGCACTTTGTATATTCGTATTAGTAAAAAAAATCTCTTTAGCTGCAAATGAAGGGACTTAAAACAAAATGTTAATAAGATGCTCTTTTGCTTGAATAGTATTTTTTTTCTTACTCCTTATGTCTATTTAATTTCTTAATTTATTAGCCAATTTATACTTCGATTCAGTATCTCGCATTACATCTATTCATTTTGCGATAAGAAAGGACCAAATTAACCTTCTAGAAGAGGGATGTTTTTTTTTTTTTAACTTTATTTGCTTTTTTTTTTTTTTTTGAAAAAAAAGAGGATGGTTTTTTTAGAATTAAAAAAAGGGGAAAGAATGTTGTTTGGAAAAGGAAAACAGAATATATTCTATGTTTTCGGTAAAAGTACAACAAAGTAGAGATGGCCGAGTTGGTCTGAGGCCCCAGTTTAAGGTTCTAGTCCGAAAGGGCGTGGGTTCAATCCCACTCACAACAATTTTCTTTTTCTTTTTTTTTTCCACACTTTTAACTCTTCCTTATTCTATCCTTTGTCACTTTGTTCACATCTGCTACATACTTGAGAGAGGATGTTTACATTTGCTTACAAACTGCTTAGCTTGTACAAACAGAGCTAATCACGACTCACGAGTTTAGTTTAAAAAGGCGATAACTCGGGACCTATAACTTAAGAGGGCCTATAATTGAAGTCTTGAAGATGTTACAAAGATTAATCAATTCAGAAGAGATGAAATTTTTTCCATTGAGTATGCATTAATTGATACATAAAAAAAATCTGATCAACAGAAAAATGTATCAGGCGTTAGATTCTGGTCTTTAGAAGCAGGAGGTATAACAAAATGCCAAAGCCTACCTACAGCCTTTACCAAATACTTTCTACAAAGAAACCTTTGAGCATAAACCCTCTCTACTTTCCTATTAACATCATGCAATATTACATGGGTTACCCCTGGCCTCGTCCTCATCCTCGCCATCACTGCCACCGTGTAGATGGCTGCCATCCGCCCCGGCAAGTCCGGTAGATACCCCTTTGGTCCATCTATCATTATCACATCCCACTCTTTGTCATACACTTCATTTGGTAGATCACTTAGGACTAACCTGATCATGCATCCATAAATTCATTAAAAACAAACTATTGATGAAGAGGTGGGGCCATACACTAATAAATAATCTGCATGCTTTTTAATACTCCGTACTAATTAAAAAATATAATATTTGTTAAATAGGAACCATAACCGCGGTCAACCAACCCTTAGTTTTACTCTTGATTTGATTTATGTAGTAACAATAGATCTATATTCATTAAATTAGAAAATACATCATTGAATCAAACATTTTTAACACTACTTTTACTTTAATATATTGTAAATCAGAATATATTTCATCAAATCAAACTTTTCCGATAATTTAAATCATTTCAATTATTAATCAAAATCCATATGTATATCTATCATCACATTGTAATATTAACATGCATTAATTAATGAAGATTAAGGATTAATAAGATTGACAAACCTGCATTTGGTGTTACCTTGAAGATGCAACTTAGGGGGCAAACAATTGGGCTCAGCCTTATAATGGGCCAACAAATTCTTAGCATCGTAAAGATGGGTCTTATAGCCCACTGGATAGACCCTTATATTTGGGGCCTTGGTTAGAACCGTCTTGATCCAATTAGGGTCCTCTTCTAGGAACATGGTGAACCCATTTGGGTTAAATGAGGCCCACATCAACGAATCATGGCCCAGCCCAAAAACCAAGAAATTACAAGGGTAAAGAGAGAATAACACATCAAAGCTAACCCGGATCTCAGCAGTAGACTGTTGTGGTATGTCACGGGTAGTAGCGTAATGTAGCACGGCATGAAGTTGTATTGGTATAACGTTTCTCTCAACCACCGATGTCGTCCCACAAATTAACCCGGCCTTCATCGTGACCACCTTGAAGTTTACCACTAAAAATGCCACGGCGATCATCACTGCCACCACTAATGGTACCGCTAGCCAGGGCCTGTCTAGTGGTAATCGCCGTGGCTTCATTTTTATTTCTAAGATTTTAATTTTTGTGATCTATGTTGAAGGATAAATAAATAAATTATTTACAATGAAGATGAGAAATTTTACAGTATGAAATGAAAGTGAAGTGAATAATTAGTGATTGTTGATTTGTTGGTGTTTGTAATATTTTGGTGTAATTCATTCATGTCTAAGGAGATGTTTTTGATTGTTAGTTAACGAGATTTACATTTGCCTAGATGTTCGGAGTTGGAAGGTCCTTGGTTAGGTAACACGTATAATTGTCATGATTAATTAATTGTTTTATAATTGTTGTTAGTTTTGTTGTAATTTTTTGTTTGGATTTAATTTAATTCATGGCTCAAATTTCATGCGCTTTTGTAGCGTAGTATAATACTCAACTAGTGTGCGGCCCGGGCGTTGCATCGGGTTGCCATTTTGATTAAACTTTTTTTATTTTTATTTTTATGAAATTTTTTCTATCATCATGTTTTTTTTTTCTTTTTTTTTTTTCCCTTTTTTCAAATATGTTTTATAATTGTGGTATTATGATTTATAAATTGATAAAGCATAGGATGTTTGAGTATGTTGTGCACAAATGTTAAACATAATGTTACTAATTAACATTTTTTTAAAAAATGCTATTAATTAACAAAAAGTATAGGAACATAGTTTTTAACTCTCCATTATTTCGAAAATGTCGATTATATTCCTCTTAAATTTTTTTATCAAGTTGCATATCTAGTTAGTTTTTCCTTTTTATTTTGAGACTGTCATTTATAGTTGTATTTATTTAAAAAAATGACATGATTCATTATTGGCTAAGATGGTAAGGAGTTTGATATTGCTTCCCTAAGGTTTAGTGTTCAAAACCCATGATAGGCTTTTTTATATTATAATTAATTTGTCAATAATGGTAGTACAGTCTTGCTTTGTTAAGTGGTGATGACGTGTTGTTAAGTGATGATGTGACACAATGCTTGTTAAGGAGGGAATGACGTGGCACATAAACGTTTTTCGGAACGCTTTTTAGTATATAACTAGTGAGTAGCCCGTGCGTTGCCCCGAGTTGCTACTTTTATAATTGTACAATGGGAGTATTTTATTTTATGGATTTTTATTTTTATTTTTTTAAGCAAAATAATAACATAATATTTTAGCAAAATATCATATGGTATAATTTAAAATAACAACATGTTGAAACAAAATAACAACACGTTTAAACAAAATAACAACAGGACAAATATATAATAATAACCTAGTCGTTTCCTCTCTTTTTTCTCTCTAGGGTTCTTCAAAAAAAGTGTTTCAGACGTCGGAAACAGCTAAATTTCTCCAGAAATTATGCTTTTGTAATTGAATTTAATAAAACTACACTCTTTGAATGTTCTAAGTACCCCTAATGGTGGGTTTGAGTGTAGTAAGTTCCCCTATGGTGTGCTTTGTTTTAGTTTTGTTTTTGTATTATGAGTTTAGTATGATACAAGTTGTTTCATGGGTAAAGATTTGTGCGGGATCGAAAAAGAGGTTAATCCTTCAATTACAATTAGATGAATTAGACGAAAATTTTCTTCACGATTACACAATATAAAAATAACAATATTGTTAAGTAGAATAACATTAGATTATTGAAAGAATAACATAAGGTTAAATATAAAATACAAAACATAACACGATTTTAGTAATATAATACAAGGTTTGATCAAAATTACTCAAGGGTTTTGTATAATAACACATGGTTTTAACAAAATAACACAAGATTAAAAATACAAGCTTAATTTAAAATAACGCAAGTTCAACTCATAATAATACAAGTACAGAAAATAATGGATTCAATTCAAATAAACATTTTAAAATAACATAGGCACATTTTAGAATAACAAGTTTCAATAACTTTCAAATAACACATGTTTAACTTAAAATAACATTATCTCATCACAATTCACTTCATTTTTTGATGTTAAATTTTTGTGAAAATATAAATTGTAATTATAAGTACCAAAGTTGTAATTGAATATATTTGTTAAAAAAATATTAATAACTTTATTCAAATTCAAATATACTTACCTATTTTGTTTCAACCTTTCTTGTTGTGCTTAATTTGTTCATTTTTCTATGAATTCATGAATATCAACCCATTATATGCACGATGATGTGATATTGAAAATTCTCAGTCAATTGCACAATTTTATGCTAGCTAATGCAAATTTTGGATGAAATTTAGGAGTTTTTGTTGAATGAAAGAAGGTTTCAATAAGGTAAAAATGGAGGTTTGAGAATTTGGAGAGAGAAAAAGTGGAGATAGAAAGTGGAGAGAGAATGTATTTTAAATTCTGAATTTTTTTGGCTCAATTTCATTATATAGTCTCACATGTACATGTTATTTTGTTTTAAACATATGTTATTTCGCTTTAATATGTTATAATAAGTGGACTACCATGAAGATGGTACTCCAGGATTACATAATACTAATTGAAATGCGACCGTGTTTAAATAAGTGTTACACTTCCTTTTTTGACAAAAAGCTACATTTTAATATTATATCTCTCTCTTCTCATGGTCCCCATAAACCCGGCCACTACTACTTTTTTTTATTATTTCTCTCCTCTCACATTCATTACTTTTCAATAAACTATTAACCCCACTATCTTTCTTTTATAATTTCTTAATACTCCAACTACCCCACTTACTTCTTATTTTATTTAAGTCAATTAAATTGCCTAAAACTATGTGTCGGTCAAAGTGTAATATTTATTAAAACATGAAGGGAGTATCGATAGATAAATGCATAGTCTAATACTCTTATCTAATCAATGGCTATATAATCGTGTGATAGTAATTGGTGTCTAGATCCTTCGACGTGCTGGAATTTGAACCTACTATGTCATACGTCAACGACAAACGTGAATAATGGTGTAATTTACAAAAAAAATATTGATTCAACGTGAATCCATTCAACGTTATGAAATTTTGATTATGTGTTTGCTTGTTACCGACACAACAAATTAAATGACGATCTGATAATCTGATATTGGGAACATGACTTGTGTTAGCCTGCTAGGGTATTACTCGATATACGTTGTAGTGTTGATAATTCTTTCGTGCACCACTCAGACAACTTTTAATATTTACTAGGTATTTAATACTAGTTTTATATGCATGTAATATATGTGATAATTTATCAATGCATAACTTCGACTAAAATATCTCTAATAATTTGTTGATGTTGAAAAACTAGACATTAAGAGTTGAGAAGATTTTAACTAGTATCCACATGACTATGTTTAATTGAAGTATTATACATAAAATATTAACATTCCTTAAAGTGGTGTATTTGAATAGGGAAGAATTCAAGATGAGGAACTTAAGGGAGTAACATTTTGTACGAAATAATCTTTACAATTGTACAACAGATATACTCCGTACTTCGTATTTACAGTACAATTTTACATTGACATACGTGTAGATTAAAAATGTTTTGCAATCATGCATGAGGAGGAATTCAAGATGAGGGACTTAAGGGAGTAACATTTTGTACGAAATAATCTTTACAATTGTACAACAGATATTCTCTGTACTTCGTATTTACAATACAATTTTACATTGACACACATGTAGATTAAAATTTTTTTGCAATCATGCATGATGGGTCATTATAATTAGTGGTTGATCTTGGTCTAAAAAATTAGAGGGGTCGGAATTTATGTCTCTTAGCACACTTGGTCAAAATTAATTAATAATTATGTAGCAATATTTATAAGTCAATAGGGTTATTAAAGTTTAGTAATTAATTACTCGGCCCAGTGGAAGGTGCCCCTCTGATTGGGATGGCAATTGTAATCATGCATGGGTGGGTATGCTGAATCATCGGGATGACAATTTTCTTTGATTTATTAGTCACAAATTATACGTAGTATAAATAAATAAATAGAAAGAGTGCAGTCAGTATTATGAGCTCCAACTCAAGGCATCGAGAGAGAGAAAGAAGAGAGGGAAAGAGATTGTTTATAGAGCAAGCAATCACCATACCTATGGAGTCAAAAAAGTTATTAAATGGAGCAAAGCAAATAATGGTGCCAACCAAAGATCACAACTTGTCCAATGGCGGCGATGCTGTTATCGATCTTGACCGGTAAGCCCATGATTGCTATTTTACTTGACGATGTTTATTTGAAATTCATCTACATACTATATAATACATGATCTGAGAGTGAGGGATAACTCAAGTGGTTAGAGCTTTCCTTCCGGGAAATTCTGGGATAGATTTTCACCCCCACCCTTGTGGCTCTTTAAACATGAAAAAAAAAACTATAGTACATGATCTTTGTAAAGAGAACGCACCCTATTCCCTAGTTGAGATGTAAAGTTTCTATTATTACTATCTACTCCGTACCCTAATCAATCTTAGAGCTGTTCATGGACGAGACAACCCGCTAAGCCCGTTCTACCCGGCCCGTAAAAAGGGACGAGCTTGGACAACAATTTTGAAAAAAATGAATATTTAGATGGGGCTAGGCCCGACCCACTGATATATATGGGCGAACATGAACAAGACAATTTATATCGCGGGCTAGCCTGTCTGACCCGTTTAATAAAAACTAATTTAATAAAAATTTTTAGTTAGTTAAATTGTATACATTATATTATAGAAAAAAAAAATACAAAGAAAGTATATTGAACTCTAAGTTTTTATCAGCTACAATAACTATTTTTTTTCTCATTTTTATATGTCTTTTCATAATTTTTACTAACATATGTCACGATTTTAATTTTTTAAAATTTCTTTATCATTTGTGATCAAGAAATTTTCAAAATAAATTAATCAAAATAATTGTAAACTAAATAAATAATAAAAAGATTAGTTAGCGTTTATATAATAACTAGTTTTGTGTCCGGGCGATGCCTAGATGGTTGATAAAATTTTAAGATAACATTTTTACGTGAATGTTAAATACGGTCAAATAATTCGTTCTGATAATATATGTAGGATATTTGGACATACGATATCATATGGAGTGTACTTT